ACACATTCTGGCCACAGTTTCTTCCAAGCAGAGTTCAAAGTCCTCTTAGTCACTTCCTCCCAAGCCTTACCTATAAGGTTTACACAAATGAGGATGCTAAAGTGATCTCTCCAAAACTCTCTTAGAGTCAATTGAGTTTCTGAGGTCACTACAAAGCACCTTTCAAACAAAGCTTTTTTGTAGAGTTTTTTGAAGTTTGCAATGACCTGCTGGTCCATGGGCTGCAGGAGAGGAGTGGTATTAAGAGGCAAAAACTTGACCTTAATGAAGCTCATGTCCCCAGAAAGTCGCTCTGCCAAGTCTGAAGGATGACCAGGAGCACTGTGTAATACCAGGAGGCACTTAAGGTCCAATTTATTTTCAAGGAGGTAATTTTTCACAGTGGGGGCAAATGCATGGTGTAACCAGTCATAGAAAAGTCCCTAGTGACCCATGCCTTACTGTTTTCCCTCCAAAGCACACACAAATTAGCCTTGAGGACATTGTTTTTCCTGAACACTCTGGGAGTTTCAGTGATACACCAATAAAGGCTTCACTTTGCAATCACCACTAGCATTGGCACACATCAACAGAGTAAGCCTGTCTTTCATAGGCTTATGTCCTGGTAGTGCCTTTTCCTCCTGAGTAATGTAGGTCCTGCATTTTCTTCCAAAACAGGCCTGTTTCGTCACAATTAAACACTTGCTCAGGTTTCAGTCCTTCAGCCTCTATGTACTCCTTGAATTCCTGCACGTATTTTTCAGCTGCTTTTTGGTCCGAACTGGCAGCCTCACCAGATCTTCAATAAAGGTAAGCGTCATGTAACTGTGCATGTCTTCTTCAGTTTGTGTGTATTAAAATTAATATTTCATGTGGTAAAAAAAACTTTTTTTCATACTTTTGGGTGTCAGGAACAGATTAATTTGATTTCCATTATTTCTTATTGGGAAAATTCATTCACATAACGATAATTTCGCATAACATTGAGCTCTCAGGAACGGATTAATAGCGCTATGCGAGGGTCCACTGTATAAGTTTATTTAGGTGCAGGTAGTATACATAAGTATAATTATCAGAGTACACCTACCATCCGACTTATGACCTGCTCGACTTACGACCACTTGACTTACGACCGTGTTTTTTATGCCAAATTTCTGGGAAATAAACAACTATTTGTGTTTTACACAGTGTTTATCCTAAACCTTACAGTATAAAAATACAGTACTAACAGCATAAAAAGTAAAGTATAACATGAAATACCAAATAAAACAATAAAATAAAGTCATTACAAAAATGTTTTGTTGATATTCAGTAGTAAAATTCGACTTATGACCATTTCGATTTATGACCGGTTTCTTGGAACCGAACTCGGTCGTAAGTCGGATGGTAGGTGTATATATAAAATATGAAATAACTTTTAAAAACACTTGAAATTTTGGAGTTTCCAGACATAATGGAGAGACTTAGTGCTTATGGATCTCACACAGAATGTAAACAAACCGGGTGGGGCACGGTGGCCATATTAGAAAGTCAGGTGGGGGGAGCCGTATAACAAGTTTTGGTCATAATTTGAAATGACCGTATTAGCGGAATGCTGTAAAGCAAAACGCCGTAAAGCAGGGCCCTACTGTATGTACATCTATATTGCATGTAAAAAAATTATTTTGTTTTAACACTTTTGGGTGTCCAGAATGGATTAATTGGATTTACATTACATATTTCTTATGGGGAAAATGGTTTCACAAATCATCAATTTTGCCATTAGTCACACTCTCTGGAACTGAATTACAAAAAACGAGGGTTCACTGTAGCCCCAAACCAAAGGAAACACCAGACAAAAGATGGGATGGATGAGAGACGAAAATGCAACACTTCCTCTCACCATGGCAGCAAAGTGAGCACTAAGGAGTCACTGTGGAGTGTGGCGGCAGGTCATGATGTCATACTAACGGCTGCTACCTTGCAAAATGCACTGATGAAAAAAGACCCCCCTGTTTGGCAGACCTTTGATTTTCTTCATGGAATTATGCAGGGGCGCTCACCCAGCATAATGCCATGATGAGCACATATGACAGAGTGGAAAGGGGAGCAATGTGGCAGATGTTGCAAGTGTATGGAATAGGTAGTAAGTTACTAAATGCTGTAAAGAATTTTTATGAGGACAGAGGCGCTCAGGTTAGGGTGTGTAGGAGAGAGGGAGATTATTTCCCAGTAAAAGTAGGTCTTAGACAGGGATGTGTAATGTCCCTATGGTTGTTTAACATATTTATAGATGGGGTTGTAAAAGAAGTAAATGCTAGGGTGTTGGGAAGAGGGGTGGGATTAAATTATGGGGAATCATATACAAAATGGGAGTTGACACAGCTACTTTTTGCTGAAGATACTGTGATTTTGGGGGATTCTAAAGAAAACTTGCAAAGGTTAGTGGATGAGTTTGAGAAGGTGTGTAAAGTTAGAAAGTTGAAAGTGAATATAGATAAGAGTAAGATATCAAACAATTTAGATAAAGAAAAATTGGGTATCACATTGGAGTATGGAAGAAGTGAATGTTTTCAGATATTTGGGAGTTGACTCGCCAGTGGGTGGGTTTATGAAGGATGAGGTAAACCAGAGAACTGATGATGGAAAAAAGGTGTGGTATCTGTGGAGACAAAGAACGTTATCCATAGAAGCAAAGACAATGTGCGAGAGTATAGTGGTACCAACACTCTTATATTGGTGTGAAGCATGGGGTGTAAATGCTGCGGCGAGGAGGCAGCTGGAGGCAGTGGAGATATCATAACTAAGGGCAATGTGTGGTGTAAATATTATGCAGAGAATTTGTAGAGTGGAAATTAGGTGTGGAGTTACTAAAAGCATTAGTCAGAGGGTTGAAGAGGGGCTGTTGAGGTGGTTTGGTCATTTAGAGAGTATGGAACAAAGCAGAATGATTTGGAGAGCATATAAATCTGTTGGGGAAGGTAGGCCGGGTAGGGGTCATCCCCGAAAAGGTTGGAGGGAGGGGGTAAAGGGGGTTTCATGGGCGAGATGCTTGGACTTCCAGCAAGTGTGCATGAGTGAATGGAGACAAATGGTTTTTGGGACATGACGAGCTGTTCGAGTGTGAGCAGGGTAATATTTTGTGAAGGGCCTCAGGGAAACCGGTTAGCCAGACTTGAGTCCTGCAAATGGGAAGTACAATGCCTGCACTTTAAAGGAGGGGTTTAGGATATTAGCAGTTTGTAGGGACGTCTAAACTGTCAAATCTGAGTGCCTCTGTAAAGACAGTGATTATGTATGAGTTATGGTGAAAGTGCTGAATGATGATGAAAGTTTTTTTCTTTTTTGGGGGGTTTTCTTCCTTTTCGGGTCACCCTGCCTAGGTGAGAAATAGCTGACGTGTTTAAAAAAAAAAATTCTTCCAGGTCTCTATCTTACAGAGTTTACTTATCATACTGTACAAGTATTGTAGCAAATGGATATGTTCACAAATTAGAACTATTACTTTATAAAGTAAATGTAACAGCTGTTTTATTTACTGTAAATGACAATCATACATATGACAAAATTTCTTAACCCTTTCAGGGTCCAAGGCCCAAATCTGGAGTCACGCACCAGTGTCCAAGAATTTAAAAAAAAAAAAATTGTTATTTTTTCTTATGAAATTGTAGAGAATCTTTTTGTGAAGGTAATAAAACAAAAAGTACGAAATTTGGTGGAAAATTGACGAAATTATGCTCTCGCGAATTTTGATGTGTCAGCGATATTTACGAATCGGCGATTTTGCCGACTTTGACTCCCATTTTAGGCCAATTACATTATTCCAATCAACCAAATTCTTAGCTATTTCACTAGTATTACTTCTATTCTATCGATTGAGCACAAGAAATCGCCAAGTCAACTGTTTCAACTACAAAATAAAGTGATCGGAAATTGTTAATTTGGCCAATTTTAACACAAAGTTCAAAATATTCCAATTTCAAAATAGGGTCCAGAATGAACAATGTAGGCATTCCTGGCACTAAACTAACATTTCCTCTGTTCATTAGTTATGTTTTGAGGCTTTACAAATAAATTCCATTTTGATTTTTTATTCACATAATGAATTTTTATTCACACCAAAAAATAGAAGATTTACTCTTATGCAATACTGTAATAATTGTATAAATATCATCACCATATTTGTGAATGTATATTAGACCCACCAGCTGACGTGTATTAGATGTGTGAGGTCGTTTGTTTACTCTTGAATATCGGCAAAAATTTAACATTTCCGCTACTTTGAGCTCAGTTTCAAGCCATTTCCAATGCTAAAACCAATCAAAATCATCTCTATTTCTGTAATATGTCTTCCATTCTATCAAATGAGACCAAGAAATCGCAAATACAACTATAAAAAACATACGAAAAAACACTGCAAAGTTGCTGTTTTAATCGAAAAAACATGATTTCATTTTTTTTCTCTCATTATACACAGTGTGCTGCAGGATCTGTTTTATGTGGTGCACACATACCACATAGATGTATTCTATCATATCTAGGCCCAAATGTACCACTCACAGTTTATCAGAGTGAGCTGAGCTCATGGCGTAGATCTACGGTTTGGACCCTGAACGTAAAGCCGTAGATCTACGGGACGGACCCTGAAAGGGTTAAAGGTACAGTGGTACCCCGAGTTTCGTACAGCTCCCAACTCAAACAATTGTGTGTGTATTATTATATTTTTGGGGGTCTGAAACGGACTAATCTAATTTAGATTATTCCTTATGGGAACATATTCGTTCAGTAATGGCACTTGAACAGCCTTCTGGAACAAATTATGGCTGAAACTCGTGGTGCCACTGTATTTATTAGTTTCATCTGAGTCTTCACCACTTAAAAATACAGATATGAAAGTTTAATCAAAATAATTATAAATGGCCTACATAAAAGATTTAAAATACTGAATTACATAAGCATTTGATTTTATTCATGTCTATCAAAAAGAGAACTTTAGCAAACACCAGTTTTATCTCCCTTGACATGGCATCTATAACACTTACTTCATTTACAGCTTTAAGGATGAAATCTGGGAAAGATTCCTCAGATAAATAAAGGCAGCTATGTTCCATCACTGATGCACAATCACCTGAAGACTGTCCATTCATATTTCCCACTGAAAATTTTGCAATGCAGAAAATAATCTATGATATGGTACCATGGTATTACAAAAGACATGTACTACAAAAGGAGAGCTTTTATTATGATGTTTTGCCTAAAAAAAGCTTCATCAGGTACAGGAAAAGCACCAAATATTAATATGTATACAATTCTGTATATAGTGATGAAAGATAATCACATCAGGTGATGGGTAAAGGTGGGGTCAGGTGTAAACAATATGTCCTATACTAAACATTTAACAACATAACACAGAATTTAACAATTAAAATAACAAGCTAAATATATCATAATAAATGATACACAAAGTGAACCCTTGATTTAATTAACACTTTCAAGGTCGAGAGGCCCTCTCCTAAACTTGTTCTCAGGGTCGAAAATTTTTCGAGAAAAAAAAAATTCTTATGAAAAGATAGAGAATCTTTTCCCAATCATAATGACACCAAAAGTATGAAATTTGATGGAAAACTTATGGAATTATGCTCTCGCAAAGTCATTGGTCTTGACGATGTTCACACATTGGCGATTTCGCCCACTTTGAGCCCTATGTTTGGCCAATTCCAGTGTACTAGTTGACAAAAATCATAACTATTTCGCTGGAACTCCATTTTTTCTGTTAAATGAGTACAAGAAAGCACCCATTTACCGATTTCAACTATCCAATAAAGTGGTCAGAAATTGGCAATTTTGCCAATTTTGCACAAATTTCAAAAGATGCCAATTTCCAAACAGGGTCCAGAATAAACAAGACAGACATTCCTAGCACTAAAATAACATTTCCTATGTTCATCAGTCACGTCCCCAGGCCCCTCTTACATTTCTTTTGCTTTCCACTCTGAATTTTTATTCTCTGAATTTTTATTCTGTTATGCAGACTACTGCATTAGTGTAGAAATTATATAAATAATATCAGCTCACTTGTGAAAGAATATTAGACTCACCAACTGACGTGTATTGGATGCGTGGCATGATCTGTTTACTTTTGAACTTTGGCAAAAATCAAACATTTCTGCTACTTTCACCTCAATTTCAAGGTACTTTTCACTGTGAAACCTATCAAAATCATCTCAATTTCTGTAATGTGTCTTCCATTCTATAAAATGAGACCAGGAAAACTAGAATACAACCATAAATACCATATGAAAATACAATGCAAAGTCACTGTTTTAAACCAAAAACACGGTCAAAGTTTTTTTTCTCATTATGCACTGTGTGCTGCAGGATTTTTTTACACTGTGCACACTGACCACATAGACAAATTCTTTCATATGTAGGCCTACCAGCTTTTGTCTTGCTAGATTTGAAGGCACTAGAATTTAGGCGTACTAGTACAATATGTCAATAACCCTGGTGCATAAGCCGTACTAGTATGTCGGAAACCCTGAAAGAGTTAACTAATAGGGGAAGAGAGAGAGAGGCATCCATTAACCCTTTCAGGGTCCGTCCCGTATATCTACGGCTTTGAAGCAAGGGTCCGAGCTGTAGATTTACGCCAAAATTCTAGCGGCTTCAAATTTAGAGTGAGAAGGATGGTAGGCCTACATCTAAGAGAATGGGTCTGCATGGTCAGTGTGCACAGTAAACAAAAAATCAGGGCACCCGCACTGCATTGTGGGAATGACATTTCAGTACGCTTTGTTCATCATGCTTGGTGGCAAGGAAGCTCCCCCCTCCCCGGCGAATTCTGACTCTCCTCTTCACAAGTTATAGTGCTAATACTGATGGAAGTGGATCTGAAGAGGAATTCTATGGTTTTGAACCATATGGTACATTGTACCATATGGTACCATATACAAAGGTACCATATCATACAATGGTATCATATGGTACAATGGTATATGGTACAATGGTACCATATGGTACAATGTATCATATGGTACATTCTACCATATGGTACATTATACCATATAGTAAATTGTAACACATGGTACAGGGTACAGGGACCCTAATGGAAATAAGTCACTTTGACTTTTTTGGGTTATTCTAGGTTCTCCACACATATGCTGCTATGTAGGATAATCTATGTAACTGTATTTGTGTACACCTGAATAAACTTACTTATGACCCCACATGCACTCGAGTAAGTTGATTCAGGTACAGTAGGGCCTCACTTATATGGCAGGTTAAGTTCCAGGCTACCGCCATAAAGCGGAAATCGCCGTAAAGTGGAACACCCTTTTTTTTCCTTAAAAATGCATACAAATACTAGATAAGAAGTTTACACTATCGCCTTAAAGTGAATCACAGCCTAAAAACATGTTTACACTATCATATATTAAGTGTGCAATACCACTAGGCCTATAAAAACAATGAAAAAGTAAAAATAATAAAGAAAAGGAATTGAAAATTGCCAAAAACCATCTTAAGAACAAGGAAAGCACCAAAAATAACAAACATGAATATAACTGAAAAATGCCACATCAGTGAAGTGGTCTGAAGCTAGTGCCGTATTAACAAAGCATGCCGGTAACTAGAAATGATGACAGGTATTAGGGAAACTTACTTGTATCATGATATTCTTGGCTATGAGCATCAAGAAGGCAGAATTCATCCTTAGAAAGAAGTAGCTTGCGGCACTTCCTACACTGCACTCGCTCACTCTCCATCATACTGTTAATTTAACGAACATTATTACTTCAATACAGCATTAAGAAATTTTAGGTAAGGTTATAAAATTCAAAGAAACACACTTACAATAAGCGCATATATTTGTTTCATTAACCCTTTCACTGTCTGGACCCCCCAAAATTAAAAGTGCCATGTGTTAAATTATTAAACTGAATTAATTTTTTTAATTTCAAAAAATGTGAAGCAAGCACATATAGAAGTTATACATATAATATGATTACATATTTTGTATGATCATAATATAGTAAAGATGAAATTAGATATAATACAAGCAGGTCCGGCCTTAAGCCGATTGGGCCAATTGCTCCCAACTGGGCCCTGCGCTAAAGTGTAATCTACTCTCAGCTTGCCAGGTACACACAACAACATGAAGTAAAAACAAAGGGGCATCTGGAGAAGGGAGTTTTTCCAAGCTGAAACTAATCGAAACTTACTCGAGATCATGAATTCAGCAAGAGCATTTGAACAGTTTGGCAATTATGCCCATTAAATCTGAAATTAGCAGTTTAAACTTTGACAAAATTCTAAAAGACTTTGCAGAGAAAAAAACAAGAAAAATAACTTTCTCCTAATAAAAGGCAATACAGTGGGCCCTCGGCTAACGAATGCATCACATAACGTTAAATCCACCCAATGAAGCGTTTGAGCGTAAAAATTTTGGCCTGGCTAACGATAAAAAACTTGCCCAACATGATTCTTCCCAAACCTGTCCATCCAGCCTGAGCTCCTCAGCTGCCCTGCCGTCATTGTTTACAAGCCAGGGTGGCCAGTTTCATGCATACATTCGATATATTTTGTATTATTCCATTGTTTATAGTGCTTGTAACTGCTAAATAAGCCACCATGGGCCCAAAGAAAGCTTCTAGTGCCAACCCTGTGGTAAAAAGGGTGAGAAATATTATCAAAATACTATCGTACCATGGTCAGCTGCTGCTGCACCACCGTCAGCTGTACTACTCGAAGATGTGGAGAGACTGTTGTTGGTGTGGCTTAATGAGAAACAATTACTGAGAAACAATTAACCCAGAGGGTTAGCCACCCAGGATAACCCAAGAAAGTCAGTGAGTCATCGAGGACTGTCTAACTTATTTCCATTGGGGTCCTTAATCTTGTCCCCCAGGATGCAACCCACACCAGTCAACTAACACCCAGGTGAACAGGAAAAAATGCCTGGAACTAGTGCTCATATTGGTGAATTTAAGGCCAGCAAAGGTTAGTTTGAGAGATTTAAGAATCGTAGTGGCATACACAGTGTGATAAGGCATGGCAAAGCTGAAAAATTCCAACCCCAACAATTGTTCAATTGTGACGAAACAGGCCTGTTCTGGAAGAAAATGCCAAACAGGACCTACATTACTCAGGAGGAAAAGGCACTCCCAGGACACAAGCCTATGAAAGACAGGCTAACTTTCTTGTTTTGTTGTAATGCTAGTGGGGATTGCAAAGTGAAGCCTTTACTCATGTATCACTCTGAAAATCGCAGTGTGTTCAAGAAAAACAGTGTCTCATCACTCATCAATACTCTTCAATAAAGGTAAGTGTCATTTTAACATTTATTTATATAGCCATTGTGCATGTCACATTGTTTTCTTTGTAGGGAAATGTACACTTCATAAAAAAAAATTATTTTTTTAATACTTTTGGCTGTCTGGAACAGATTAATTGGATTTCCATTATTTCTTATGGGGAAAATTAATTCGGCTAATGATAATTTCGTCTAACGATGAGCTCTCAGGAACGGATTAATATCGTTAGCCAAGGGTCCGCTGTAATAATATGACTCGTTTATAGTTTATGAATGATAATTTGTTTCCAACAGTGCACTTAAATTCTGATTTTTTTTTCTGAACAAAACTAAATTAATATTTTTAATAAATCATTTCACAGCCACTAAAGCAAGTGGTATTGTGACTATGTACTTTTCAGAGGTGATATACAAATTTTGTTTGTTACTTGTAGGGTTACATGTATGCAGTTTCATATTAAATTGTAGCTTACATCTGTTTGGTCTATTAACTCGCATGCATTTTTTAAGTACACTGAATACAAGGCTCTTCAGAAGCCACTAATTATGCATATGCATTTCAGACAAACTAATCATAAGGTTTACTAAATATTAAAATCTAAAGCTAGAATAAAATTTAAGTTAGTACATACTGAACATGTGATACAATACAATCATACATACAACTGAACAGGTTGCAACTGAAGAAGTGATCAATTTCAATAAATTACATTGAAATTAAATAGATTCAGTAACCTGAATATGTATTATGAAGTGGTTGAATTGGGGTACTGAAATTAAAGCATGAGAATTAATGCAGGCAATGGCTATAACATTTATGTGAGATTTAACCCCTTAACTGTCGCAACCCCAAATCCTGAGGTGTCTCCTGGTGTCGCAAAATTTAAAAAAAAAAAAAAAAAAAAAAAATTCTTATTAAATGATAGAGAATCTTTTCCTGATAGTAATGACACCAAAAGAACGCAGTTTGATGGAAAACTGATGGAATTACGCTCTCAAGAAGTTAGTGACCTCGGCAATATTTACGGATCGGCAATTTCGCCCAATTTGAGACCTATTTTTGGCTAATTCCATTGTTCCAGTCGACCAAACTCATAGCTACTTCCTTAGAACTCCATTTTTTCTATCGACTGAGTACAAGAAATTGCCCATTTACTGATTTCAACTACCCAATAACGTGGTCAGAAATTTGCAATTTGGCCAATTTCACGAAAATTAAAAAATATGACAATTTCAAAATAGGGTCCAGGATGAACAATGCGGACATTCCTGGCTCTAAAATAACATTTTCTTTGTTCATCAGTCACGTTTCCAGGCCCCTCTGATATTACTCTTGCTTTCTATTTTGAATTTTTATTCAAACAAAAAATAGAAGATTTACTGTTATGCAGACTACTGCAATATTGTAATAATTGTATAAATTAGACACATGTGCAACTCTTGGGTATCTTTATTGAGGAAACGTTTCACCGCACAGTGGCTTCATCAGTCCATACGTAGGAGAAACTTGAAGAACAGGAGGAGAATGAGGTAATCAGTCCCTCAACCTTGAGTCGATGTGTTCAATCCATCAATCTTGAATAGAATATTATTCTATAGAATACTATTCTATAGAATATTCTTGAATAGAATATTATTCTATAGAATACTATTCTATAGAATACTATTCTATAGAATACTGCTCTATTCAAGATTGATGGACTGAACACATCGACTCAAGGTTGAGGGACTGATTACCTCATTCTCCTCCTGTTCTTCAAGTTTATCCTTTGTATGGACTGATGAAGCCACTGTGTGGCGAAACGTTTCCTCAATAAAGATACCCAAGAGTTGCACATGCGTCTAATTTATCAACATGTCGGTTCTCTGAACCATTCATTTACAAATAATTGTATAAATAACGTCAACCCGTTCATGACTGCATATTAGAATGGCTACTTGGACATTTATTGGAAAATGACATCATTTGTTTACTTTTGAACATTGGCAAAAATCAAACATTTCCCCTACTTTGAGCTCCATTTCAAGGTTCTTTTCCTAGTAATATCAATCAAAATCACCTCTATTTCTATAATATAAAATATTCTATCAAATGAGACCAAGAAAACGAGAATACAACCATAAATACTACACGAAAATAGACCATCTTAATTAAAAAAAAAAACGGTCGGAGTTTTTTTTCTCATTATGCACTGCATGCTGCAGAATTTTTTTTATATGGCGCACACTGACCACGCAGACCCGTTCTCTCACATGTGGACCTACCAGCTTTCTCCTGCTCATAACACCAGACACAAACATCTCTATGACATTCCCCGTGTTCGACTAAGCCTTTAAAACAATTCAATGTATTTCAAAGGACCTAAAATCTGGAACACCCTACCTGAAAACTCTAGAACTGCAGACACATTCATCACCTTCAAAACTACAGTTAGAAAACATCTTATCTCCCTGATCCACCCCGACAACTAACTACATGATAACCACCTGGTGGTTCACAATTACACTCACTCACCCACTGACTATAAACCCAGAAATACTAATCTTAATCTTAAAATAATAAATCCTAACTAGTCATAAGTTTGCCTATTATTACAACCCAGGATTCCAAATGGCCTGTTATCCTGGGTGTAATGGGAGCAAAATAAACACAGCAGAAAAAGTTTAGACTTATATTATCCTTCACCAATTTAGAACAGCAATATGTACACTATGTACAGTGATAAGTATAGTGCACTCCACGGTAAGCAAGGCAGAAACAGAAGCCACAGATAGCAGACCGTGCTTACAACCAGCTCTAGAATGGGAATGACAAGGGCAGACAGGAGAGTGGTACCCACATAACCTCTGCGATTGCCAAAACCATCTTCTTATTGGCTAGAACCTGGTCACTAGTTGAACGACGGGGCCCCCATCATCAACTCTTAGCAACCTGGTTCGCTGGTTGGGGGAGATAGCCTGTAAATGAGGGTGTGTACATGCGCCGAATAAAGGTTACGTACTCTTTGCATGCCACACCCCCACCCCGAGAAGGCTCAGGATTAGGCTGCCACCTCCCAGTGGTAACCGTGCCGCCATGGCACAAAATAATGGGACCGCCTTTCCTCTCCACCATCCAACTCTTAGATAGAGCTCAGCTTTTCTCGTGACCAAAAGCCAAACCCTAAACTTAAGAGTGAGACAGCAGTCAGTCAGGCTAGCATAGGTCCAAGATACAGGCGGACGGTAGCCCGCATCCCCTCACTAAAAAAAAACCCCACACCAGGGGATAAAAAAAAAAAGAGCGTGAAAAGGGGTTACCACAAATAACATCCTAACCTAAATAAATAAAAATATTAGACTCTAGATAAAGAGTCTGCCAACATATTTTCTTTGCCGGCAATATATTTAATGGAAATATTATAGGGCTGCAGCCTTAGCGTCCAGCGCATAAGCCTTGTGTTGTGGTTCTTCATGG